GTGAATTGAGCGCAGGCTGTGAACCAAAGGGCTGCTGGTTTGATTCCCAGTCAGGGCACATGCCTGGGTTGCAGGCCAGGTCCCTAGTGGGGGCCATTAGAGAGGCAGCCACACATGACATTTCTCTTCCTTTCTTTCTCCTTCCCTTCCCTCTCTCTAAAAATAAATTTAAAAAATTTTTTTAAATCTTGCTTATTTCATTATATAAAATGTTATATTTGTATGTATATTCATGATATATAAAATGGGAATATGAAATGCCTTAATAAAATGTTTTGTATTTACATATATTATGATTGCATGTGTATAAATTTTATACTAATAGAGGTGAGAGTTTTTAAAAGTCTGGGGACCACATGGCTAAAGTATGGCCTGTGATACCTTAGAACCAAAGTCATGTTCCTACAGTGATTATGACATTTATTTATTTGGAGTAAGTTAGTATGACAGCATGTGTTAAATATTTATGGGTTATGGATTTTCCCCAACCATCAGACTTTTGTCTATGTCATCCAATGAAAGAAATGTGTTAGACAACCTTTACTGTGTCTGCTTAGCTCAAAGCAACCATCTTTCTGTGACAATTTTCCACCCTTTCCAAACTCGAGTAGAATTTGCAAGCCCAGTTTTTACTCTGTGATCCTGCCCCCTTAGACAAACTTGATTGGACGAGTAGACTTTTATAAAAACTGAGGTAAACAGTTGCTTTCTCTTTAGATTTTGTAATTTAAACTGAAATACATGGCCATTTTCTTGAATGGTGGTGATTTAAACTCTGGAGCAGAGCTATGTTGCACAGCTATGTGCACAGAGAGAAATAGTTCCTTTATGCGGAGAAGTAGATGTACAGCAAACTTTATTTACCTCCTTTCCAACTCCTTTACTACTCTTCCTAAACATTTGATTTTATATTGTTTGTATTGGAGTGATGCAATTATGGGGTGAGGGTTGCCCAAAACATGTGGGCACCTTCTAGAAGCTGGAAAAGGCAAGAAAATAGATTCTCCTCTAGAGCCTCCAGAAGCAGTGCAGCCCTGCCAATAATTTGATTTTAGCCCACTGATGTCTATTTTGGACTTCTGATCTCTGGAACTGTAAGATAATAAATTTATGTTGTTTCAAGCCACTAAATTTGTGGTAATTTGTTACAGCAACAATATAAAACTAATGCAGGCAGGCTAGAAGGAAGTTCCTCTGCAACAGTTAGCATACAATAGTTAAATTGCTCCCAAGGCACTTGGACTTTCAATTCTATGTAGATTTGAATAATAGAATTTCAGAGCTGAGAGGGACCTTCATGGAGGACTTGAGGTAAAGGATTTCTCCAAGGTTACTAAGCTAGTCAGTTGTAAAGCCAGGACAAAAACCAAGCATCCAATTTTTCATCTATGCACATTAATGACTACAAGATGCCTAACAAAAAGGCTGGTATGTATAAGGTATTCAATACGTGGTAGAGTTTTTGTTGCTGTCATCATTATGATTATGCACTTTTTAAATTTATAATATTTCATTTTTAAACATTGCCAAGTAAGGAGGCACCCTATATTAAAGAACTCAAAATTCAACTGCATAAATTTAAATACCTAATTGCCTTTATTGAACAATTCATGAATTGGGCAGCATCCCATCTACTAAGTAGAAAGTGTGCCAAGGAGCTGTACAAAATGGATGTTTTTTATAGGCAGAAATGGGATAGGTCAAAAAAGTTAAAAGAGTGAATTATTTCAGGCAAGGTCACTTTTCCTTAGTGAAAGGAAGAGGATCTTACCAGGCAGATTACCTCGCTAGTGTTAACCAGAAAATTCCAGACTGACTGGCTTAAAATTCCACTCCTGCAAGAGGCTGAAACTGCAATTAGGTTAGGTATTCAGTCTCGGTAGGACTTACTACAAGTGACTCCATGTGGGGTCTGTTGTTTCTTTTTTATATCTGAGCCAAGCCCTGACTGATGTGGCTCAGTTGGTTGGACATCATTCTGCAGAGAGGAGGGCTGACGGTTTGATTTCCAGTTGGAGTGCATGCCTGGGTTGCAGGTTCGGTCCTCAGTCAGGCTCATGCAAGGAGCAACTGATTGATGTTTCTTTCTCACATCGATGTTTCTCTCCCTCTCTTTCTCCCTCTCTTCCCCTCTCTCTAAAAATAAATAAAAATCTTTAAAAAATACCTGAAACAAAATTCAAAGTGCTCTTGCCCTTGAGGGCATTTTCAGATTCAAACAATATGGTTGAGAGGTTAAGTTGCAATTTTGACATCTAGGGGAACAAAATATGGAGTCTAGGTCCTATCACGTGGGGTGTTTCTGGTAAACCATGGTTTGGGTTGGTCCTCAGAACAACAGGACCCTGGGAGGTAAGGGTGCACCAAACTAAATTAATCATCCTCAAGATTCCCAGTCATATAGATTAGGGTGCTCCTGTTTGCTGGTACTCCCAGATCCTGCCATAAGAAAATGAAAATCCTTTATTAAAGAAAAGTCATAAGTCTCACATTATTTCTTCAATTATGTTGAGCACACAAAGATAGTCAGGTAACAAGACAACATGAGTGAGAACCAGCACAAACAAAACATGACAAATAACTAGAACAAAAACCAACAACAGACTGAATGGGACTTTGGATAGTGAAATTATCAGTGTCCCACAGTGGGTCTGCCTCAGGCCAGCAGATAGTGTATGTGTTCTTGACTTCATGCAGAAAAGATTTCACAATATGAGTCTAAGTTATTTTGAGAGTGTATTTATTAAAGCTGTGGACAGTGAAACAAAGGAATGGCTTAGGGTAGAAGAAGCAACAGGAGAGGGAGCCTAAGTAGTGCTCTGCTTTGGCTTATGTTATATGAAAAAAAGTGAGCCACACTGAGCTGCATGGACTTACTCAGAAGTAAAAGTTACAGTGAAAGAAGTAAGCCCAGGTGAGGCTGCTTTTAGTTCACTGGAAAGTCTAAAATAGAAAAAGCAACAGGAGAGAGCCCAGGCGGTGCTCTACTTTGGCTCTCTAGAAACATGATAGGAAAAAAGTGAGCCATGGCAAGGCTTCTTTTAAAAAGCTTACTGAAAAGTCAGAGAAAATGGCGCCTTGAAGACAAGCTCAAGGGGTAAGCCCAGGAGCAGCTATTGCTGCTTGCTGCTCCCCGCTGCTCCCCGCGTCGCAAGTCTTGTGGGGATCCTTAGAGTTTAGGAGAGAAAAGATACTTGCGTGAGAGGAAAGATATGGAGTGCTCCAAAGAGAGTTTGTGCTGTCTTTGTCTTGAGGGTTTTTCCAAACATACATACTGCAAGAGCAGAAAATCAAAGTCTAAAAAGGAAAAAAAATCTCAAAAGCAGCCTCTCAAAAGCAGCCAGGGAACCCCACCCCCATCCCCTCCCCACCCCCTCCCCACCCCAGACACACAATGAACTTCAAAGAATCAGTCATGCTGCCCTGGCAGAGTTGCTCAGTTGATTAGAGAGTCAAATCCCCTTCTCTGACTCTTCAGTCTTCTTTCACTTGTGATTACTTTAGACCCACCAGGAAAAACAAGGATAATCTCCTTACTTCAATATCCTTAACTGAATCATATCTGAAAAATCCATTTTGCATTGTAAGGTAGCATATTCACAGGTTCTGAGGATTGGGATGTAGCCTTCTATGGTGGACCATCATTGTGCCTGCCACATCACTATCCTTTACCATGAGGAGCTCTTCCATAAAGCCCCATTGAAAAAAGGAAATCAGTACAATATTTTTCGAAAGCAGAAAAGGATAGGGCATTTTTGCATTCTACCTCATTTAAAACTGCCATCAACCTTCAACTTTGGCGAGGTAAATATTGTTACCCTGATTTTAAGGTTCTGAGATTGAACATGAGAGAAATTAGGTAACTTGACTGACGTCATCTAGCTGGTAAGTGTCTTACTAGAAGTCTGTATCCACATCACCAGATTGGTCTTCGTGACTCCCGCAAAGGTTTTTCCACCATATCCAGAACAGATATTGCTTGGCTTATCAATGTATGAATGCTTTCTGGCCAGTCTGGAGCTTAGGAAACACACTTTAATTCGGTGGAAAAGAAATAATGAAGAAAGGTTTCAAACTGGGAGACACCTTTGAATCAAGCATTGGTGGTAACAGCTCTTCTCTTATCGACCACGTGACTCCGGTTAAATTCCATCCATTCTATGAGGCCTCAGTATCCTCATCTGTAAGTTCAAATGTATGGACCTAATAACACCCTTTTCAGTGTTATCCCCGTCCCCCGCCCCCACTGCGGCGGGAAGGGGCATTCTATGATTCTATGAGAGAAGCCCCTTGCCTCAAGATGCCTCCACCTTGTTGGGTGGGCTCTAGTATGATTGCATTCGAGTTAGAGGCATCTGAACTATTCCAAAGAAAACCAACTGCAGATCTAGGGAGGAAAAAAATGAGAGGCAATGAACAAGTAAGAGGAGATGAAAAAGACGACGCAGGCGGCGGGCGGAGCTGTAAACAGAAATAGAATGCAAATAACCTAAGTAGCATGCAAATAACTCAATATCACCATAACGGCTATCTAGAGTCTACAGGGCAAATGAAACCCTGTCGGTGTCGGAACGAGGATGCAGGGGTAAGTAGACATTGTTCCTCTCGAGGCGGTCACAGAATGCTGGGCTACACTGTGTATTTAATGGGGGACATGGAACTCCCGCCTTTCTAGAAGCCCTAGCTGTGAGAAATGTAAGAAAAGCTATGAAATGAAAATATACAAGACGTATGAGTGCGCCAGGGGCAGCGAGGAAACAGTTTGTGAAAACAACTGGGACGCCCCCTGCTCCCGCACCGTTCTCCCAAGGCCTAACTCAGTCACACAAAAGAAACCGCCTGCGCCCTCGCCCTCAGGGAGGTAGCTTCTCCTCTCAGCCCGCCTAGACGTTCCGCTGCTGAGGCGACCTACGCCCCCCAACCTCGCGTCGCCCAGGCGCCCCCGCCTCATCACCCCTCCCCGCTCGGTGCCTCGGAAGTGACGCAGCGTGCCCCGCCCCCGCCGCTAGATCGGCTGCTGCTGCCGCTGCGGGCGGACCTGCAGGAGGCGGCAGCGGCGGCGGTGGCGGCGGCCGAGGCCGAGGGAAGATGGCGGACGGCGTGGACCACATAGACATTTACGCTGATGTGGGCGAAGAGTTCAACCAGGTACGTGAGGGCCCGGGCCCACGCCGCCGAAGCGGGCGGTGCTGCGGCACAGGAGCTCACTTGGGCCCACCGAGGGCTGCGAGCCGGTGCGGCTGCAGACCGTGCGCCTCTGCCGTCGGAGGGCCGTGCCGCCCGACCCCTGCGCGGCGACCTCCCCGCCCCGGCCTCTCGTTCAACCGCGTCGTTTTGTGGGCCGCGGGCGGTGCGGGCCGCCGCGGGGCCGTGAGCGCGGATGCGGTGCCCAGTGTCGCCGCCGCTGGCCGCAGTGGCCCCGCCGCTGGCTCCTCCCTCGCCGCCGCCTTGCTGCTCCCCATTGTTGGCGGCGGCCGACGGGCGCTTCCCGCCGCGCTAGGCCCGGGCGGTGGGGCCGCGTGTGCGCGGCGGGATGAACGGGCCGCCGCCGCGCCCCGTCCTCCGCCGCGGGTTGAGGAGGAAGCCCGGCGAGGCGCGCGCCATCCGCAGCCTCTTCCCCGGCCGGGCCGCTCGGGCTCCGATTCCTCTGCGCTCCATTTTGTCTTTCTGTCCGCGCACGGTCGCCGCATGGAAGGCCGCGTTCACGGCCCTTTGTAACCCGCGCGCCGGGTTTCCCTGGGCTCTCTCGCTGTTTGCGACAAGCTTCGGCGTGGCGCCTTCCCCTTCCTTAACATTTTCTTACGGCGTCTTAGATGTGAGCGCGTTTGCAACAAGTCCTTTGACTTTTGGACCCACAGGTCGTGTTAAAAGTCGGTGTGCTGGCTGTGCCTCGGTGGTGCAGGGCTTGCGGTGCCTTTGAGGCCCAATCCATTCTTGGCCTTTTTGATGGAAATACCTGGGAAGATAGGTGGTCTGGGCCAAAAGGAAGACTTGGAAGCAGAATGGTTGGATGGAACAAAAAAGATGGTAGCTCAACTAGAGATCAGAGGAGTGATTAAAGTAAAGAACGTTTGCCCGAAATTCTTATGATACCGTCTAAAAATAAAGGGTTATATATATGACTTGATTTTTAAAAGCAAAATGCTCAGTGTCCTGGAAGGGATCTGCTTTAAGTTTTGGAAGGTTAGAGAAAGTGAGAGTGCAAGGTTTTCCCGGTCATCTCACAGGCCACAGTTGGCCTAGAACCAGCCGCCGCGTTATGTTGGGCATCCTCGTAAAGGTCTTACTTGTGACCAGAGTAGTGCTGTTTAAGCTCTGAGCCTGCCCTTCACGTCTTCAGTGACTTTTATGTAGTAACACCTTTTAAAAATCAAGTTGTGCCTAAAACTAGTCCACCAAAAAGCTTTGTGTGTATATATATATATATCCCCCCAGGTCTGTATGAGAAACTTAATAAAATTCTACCGGTTAATTGTGTTTCTTTTCTCCCTTCATTAGGATCTTTTGTGTGACTAGGGGCTTGAGTTAGTTTTTTTTTTATTTGGGAAAGCTAGAAAGCCTTATCGTTCTCTTTTTCAGGAAAGCCTTTGTGGCCCTGGTTTCAACATTAGAAAAGAAAAATTTTTTTAGTTAGCTTTCACTATTTCCTACTCTATTAAAGACCGAGTATGCCTAAATGTAACTCATTGTAATCAAACGTAAGGTTTTAAAATCTTTGTTCTTTTTATTGTGCTTGTATTTGGAATATATGGTGCCTTAGTTATGTCAGTGACAAGCTAGAAAATCATGTGGAGTGCTGCACAGTCAGATCTAATGCTCTTAAGGCCAATGAAGACCTCCAGGAATTTTTTTTTCCTTTTATCAAACCAATTCAATATTTCGTCCAAAAGCGGGCCTTACCTGCAACTAAAGGAACAATTAAATGTTCAAGACTGTCTTCCTTAGCTTTTCTTACAAGAGTATATACATTTGCTTTGCTTTTCTACACACAATAAATGAAGAATTGAGGTGCAATTTTAGAACTTGAGCTTTCTTCAGGATCTCTTTGTGAGATGTATTTAAGGCTTTCCCAGGCTTAATTTGGGTGAGCATTTCTCTATTTTGTATTCGAGGATGGAATGATACTTGTTTATCTCTGGTGCTGACTGAGCAGGAGGTAACAAGAGATTAAAATTTTGTGGTCCTGAGGAGCAACTGCTTTATCGGGTTCTTTTAAAACTAGCTTTTTGTTGTTTGTACCTACAGCATTTTATCTCACACATAGTTGTATAATTTTACTAGTAAAATGTTTATACTTTTGAATACTTAATGGGATTAAATAGACACAAAAGGGTAGTTGGTTTTCAAGGTTTATCCTGTTTTTTAATTATTTATTGATTGATTTTTAGAGAGAGAGGAGGGGGAAGGGAGAGAAACATTGATTTGTTGCTCTACTTAATTATGCATTCACTGGTTGATTCTTGTAGGTGTTCTGACTGGGGAAGCCAGCCTGCAACCTTGGTGTATCAGGAGGACACTCTTAACTGACTGAGCTACCCTGCCAGGGCTCATCCTGTTTTGTTTTGTTTCTTGTTTTTAATATTAATATTACTGATTTTTTTTCCTGAAATTTTTATCACGAGACAACTACAAAATTATTACTGACTGACTTTGCACTATATTATTAGCTGGTGTCATTGTTTGTATTGTTTGTTGTAGTAAACTGACTTTATTGTAGCTGAGTAAAATGTTTTACTAAATATAACTAGTATTGACTTAGTTTCTAAACTGCTGTGAACATATTAAAAAATCTTTGTTCTTTAATGTGAGCTGCAGTTTTCATTGAATGTGTGTACTTTGAAGTTCTTTGTAGTCTGCCCTGGCTAATGTGGCTCAGTGGATTGAGTGCCGACCTATAAACCAAAGGGTCTTCACCAGTCTGATTCCCAGTCAGCACACATGCCTGGGTTTAGGGCCAGGTCCCCAATAGGGGGCGCACGAGAGGCAACCACACATTGATGTTTTTCTCCCTCTCTTTCTCCCTCCCTTACCCTCTTCTAAAAGTAAATAAATGAAATCTTTAAAAAGTAAAATTAAAAAATCTTTGTGGTCTATGTATTTTCCATTTCTTCTATTTTATTGATTTATTTTCAAAGTTTGATTGATTTTAGAGGGGGGGGGAGAAAGAGAGAGAAAGAAAGAACCCTCTCTTTGTCCACTTAGTTATGCATTCATTGATTCTTTTACCTGCCCTGACCAGGGATCCAACCTGCAACCTTGGCGTATTGCAATGATGCTCTAAGCAGCTGAGCTACCCAGCCAGGGCCTCTTCCATTTTAAATTGTCATACTTTTATGAAGCGTGCGTGCGTGCGTGCGTGTGTGTGTGTGTGTGTGTGTGTTTGTTTTGGAAATGCACAGTATAAACTCATTTCAAAAAGAAAGTTGAAGGGGAGAAAAGGCACAGGGACTGGGCTATTTTTTATGCAAACACTTTAGTTTTTAAATTGAAGGTCTTTGGATGTAACCAAATTGAGAACAGTTGTTCCAGTGGAAGGAGAGTTTGAACTACTTCCAAATCTCTGAATTAACTTGAATTTGGAATTGAGAAGAAAGTGGTTTTGTTTTACCCTTTTAGTGTGTATCAGTTTCATTTGATCTAGGATTTTGTACCCAAATATAGTGTTACTAGCCTAATAGACTTTTATTTTTACTAAACTCAATAAAAAATTTTAGAACTCAGTTCAAAACATTTCTTGAGTTTCTATTATATGCCGACAAGGAAGGATGCAAAGTTTAGATAGAATACACTGTAGTGTGGGTGAGAGGCACCTACATGATTTTAACACTCTTGACAGGTTGTGTATTGTAGAATCCACTTCTTTATGTGTATCTTTACCTGTAGAATTTTTGTGGGCAGCGAAGGGGAAAGTCAACAATTCTATGAACTTCAGGAAAGCTGATACTGTATGCATTGAAGTAGTGTGTGTTTTGCCTGTTGGGGATCAAAAGCTCTGAATGTAGAATTTAGTTAGTGATCTGACAGTAGGTCACTGGTAACAGTGCTGCTTTAGTAATCTGACCACTCAACTTAAAAATGAAACGGTGTGTTGGTAGTAGTCAGGAAAAAATTCATTTGGAAGTTATGGACCCAGACAGCCTCATAAGGTAGCTTGCCTTTATTTCATGAGTCATTCTACTTTATATTTGATCATTATGTATCTGCCCTTGCAAGTTGTCTAGCCAATATTGGGAAATGAGTTTATTAGACATATCAGCGAAACCTTATTTCTGAAAAATTTATATTTAATAGAAAACCCTTTAAGATACAGATGTAAGATTGAGAATTGGGTAGGTAGAGACTGGTTCAGAATCTTGGGTATTTAGGAAAGTTAAAACTCTTACTATTATTATTTTTAAAGATTTTATTTATTTTGAGTGTGGGGAAGGGAGGGAGAGAAACATAGCTGTGTGATGACAGAGGACCATCGATTGATTGGTTGCTCTTGTAACCAAACTCTCAACCCATGCATGTGTCCTGACTGGGAATTGAACCAATGATCTCTTGCTTTGTAGGATGACGCCCAACCAACAGAGTCACACTGGTCAGGCTCTCAGCTCTATTGTTTTTAAGCGTGATCCATTCAGCTGCCTATAAATTGTCTACTTTGTGGTTTATGTGGCATACTTTTAGTAAGAAGTTGGCTTCCTTACTATGAGTTGAGCTTTTTACAGGGATTGCAAACTAATTTTAATATCTATTCAATATAATTAGACAAAATCAGAAGATGATATATTTTCTTTTTTTAAATTTCTATTTATTGATTTTTGAGAGAGAAAAACAGAAACATCGATTTGTTCCACTTATGCATTCATTGATTGCTTCTTGTATTGTGCCCTGACCAGAGAGTGAACCTGCAGCCTTGGCATATCATGATGGTGCTCTAACCAACTGAGATATGTGGCCAGGGAAAAAAATGAATATATTCTTAAAAAATAGATATTAGATTGGGTTATCTGATATTGGATTTTGTGTGCTAGTATTTTTCTTTCTTGATATAGAGTACATTTGTAAATACAAGATGTAACTTTCCCCTCCTTATATTCCTCTAAATGGAAGTGACTGTTAAATTCTTTTGATTTTCTTTCCACCCCCCAGTAGTGGGGTTTTGAAATAAGTGGCCTTTACTGTGCCATTACTGGTAGTATCATATAATGCAAGAATGACATTACTACAATTTTTGGACCAAAAGCAGTGTTGAGCCTGTTGGGGGGAATAAAACATATGGTACAGCTATACTGTGGTCATTCCAACAATGGTTTCAGTATATCAGTGATATTAAAATTTTATAGGAGGTGATTAGGGGAAAATGTGTTTAAAAATAGCTCTTTGGGAGGAGGGCGATGGTGATAATGAAAAATTGTTGAGGAACATTGCTTTAAAAAGGAATTAACAATTTTGATTACTGTCCATGTTATTTTTAAGTGTTTTCTCTGACTTGGCAACAGCTACTTTTGAAGTGCAAAATCTTGAGAGGATGCTTAGCCTTTAGAATGATTGTAATGATTTAGAATGTAGGCAATGAAAAAACATTAGTGGATTTTTAAAACAAACCCTAAGTGCTGTAAATAATTGGAAATTATATATAATGTGCAGCTCTAGTGGTGATTAGCTACTATGAAAAGTAGATAGTTAAGATTGTGCAGCATTTGGTATCTAAAATAATTAGAGGGGTAGTGTTGATATTTTCTTGTTTTTGAATGCCATTAAAATTTCCTAGAGATACTAATTGAAAGTACCTTACATAGTAGAACCTGACATTGTTGACCATTTCTTTTTGACAAAGTAGAAGCCATATTTTTGTTTGTTCAGTAGACTTTCAGAACTCTCTTTATGATACACATTTTGCATAGAATATACATGTTTTCCCTCTTTTTAAAGTGGGAACAAAAGGACATGTATATATTTTTTTAATGTGGAAGATAAGTGTGATATGCTAAAACTGAAAAGGAAGATTACTGATATTACAAAAGAGTAATACGTGCTTTGAGTTGAATTTTTAGTAATGATAACAGATGTATTTAGAGTCATTGATATTTTTCACCACATCCGAATGCATACTGTTGGGGCTAGAAGTACAGGCTGTGGGCTGGGAACCAAACCAAGCTAACCAGCCCACATGGAGATCAAACTCCAGGACCATGGTCTCAATTAGCATGATACTTAAACGAGTTGGTAGTCTAACTACCAAATTGGATGATCCTTAATGTTGGTAGAATCATACCAATGTGGAAAATTGGTTGGTATCAGCATAGGAATTCGTGGGTGGGCAAAAATAGTGATTGTGATTGACCAGGTTAGTGTAGCTGCAGTTACGCTTGTAAGTTATTGTCTACTTAGGTAAATATTTTCCTAGATTTACAAACAATGAAAAATCAAATAATGTATTAATATGTTTAGTGAAAGTAAAAATTTATTATTTTAGTCCTGTTTTAATAGCTCTTGCATTCTTTTTTATTCTCCCTCAGATCATGTATGATGATTGTAGTCTCTGCTGAGGAAATATAACTCCCTTTATATAATAAAAGTAATAATACTTCTTGAGGTACAGAACCCAGTTGCAAAATATTTTAAAGGACCCACTACCCCTTGTGGGAAGCTTTCTAGTGTTTCAAATGTGTGGAACCACTAATTTTTACTATCACTGCAATTTGAGCATGTTACTTTGTTTAACAAAATCTCAGTTCTGAAAGATTATTTTGGTAGTGCTGTATAAACAATTAAATTATGGCATTTAGTGACTTGTGGTCTTAGTTTCTGCCCATTGCTAAAGATGGCTTTGTTCTATGGCTTACCTTGAGATTTTGGGTCCTTCATTAAATGTCTTACATTCTATTTCATAACAAAATTATTATGTAAAGATTCCGTTGTATAATTAGGAAACTGGTTGGCTCTTTTATGCAGATGATTACCTGAAGATGACTTGACAAATTTCAGGTCTCTTTGGCTATGTGTATAAATGGTATTTCTACTAGGTTTTTTTCTTTTCTCTTAAAAAAAAAAAACTTTACTCTGCCTTCATTCTGAGTAACACTATGTTCCTGTGGGGCCCGTAATAATATTTCATTGATCTGTTCACAGTCATATTACAAATGCTGTCTCTGGGTCATTCTCTTTTCATGTGATAGTCCCTAAAACTATTAGCTCCTCTTACTGTGCCATTTATAGACAGCTCCTTTTTAATAATAATAAAAAACTGTATTGATGGGAGGATATGAGCTATGTCTGAATTTTTTGAGTTTGTTGCTTCGTAACTGTGATTGCTTCTGTATTATCTCCAATACAGGATGGGGCAAACATAGGTTTACAGTTTTGAGTGAATTTATTCTTGTATTTCTCTTTATTTATTGTATTATTTTCCATACAAGTAACTGTAAACCTGCTTTTGCCCCCACCCTGTATTCTACATCACAGGAATAAAATAGTTCACATCAATTATAGGTACTTAATGGTGGAAAGGGAGAAAAATGAAAGTAGATTTTCCTCTGATATAGGAAGTTAAGCCAGTGGTCCAGTAATGGTTACCAAAGGCAGTTATAAGTGGTGTTGAGTGTTCTGCCAATCCCTGCATTTCATTTTATTTACCAATTGAACCCTCCTTTTTCATTTTTCTCCTTTATATATATGTTTCTTTTTTGTTTTCCTCTTCTTATTTTGGAATGCAAGTGGCGTCCTCTAGCATTGTTTTAATTCTGCTGGTGACAGTGACAAAGCTTTACTATATCCTTGTTCATGTCCTTTTTCTTTTTTTTTTTTTTAAGATTTTATTCATATACTTTTAGAGAGAAGAAGGGAAGGAAAAAGAGAGGGAGGGAAACATCAATGTGTGGTTGCCTCTTGAGCACCCCACTGGGGACCTATCCTGTAGCAATCTAGGCATGTGCCCTGACCAGGAATCAAAGCCATGACCCTTTGGTTCCCAGGCCGACGTCCTGTTTTTCTTGGTAATTAACTAGATATCTAAAAAGTCAAGCATTAATTCTTTGTTGACTGAGAATAATAAAACTATTGCTAGACACCAATTTGTAGTTTTACTTGTTTTTTATTTATTGTTTCTTTTTCTTGTTCATTTGTTATGACATTTACATTATTTCAATACCCACATTTCATCATTCCTTCCCTACAGCTTAGCTCACTATGCTTTTTTCTAAAACTAATGGATTTCACAGTGCTAGGAAACAAGATCCTGAATACTACAGAAAATAGTAGTTGTGTTTTTCTGCAGTTAAATATTAAAGATTTGTAATGGCCCTGATTTGTTTGTATTTTTGTGTCAGTTTTTTAAAAGCTCATCTATTTGTATTCATTTGCGTACTGTTACTTTCACTTTAAGAATGTTTTATTTTCGAGAAAAGTTTTACATTGTTTTGTCTTCATGTTTTCCCAGAGGAACATGGTTCTCTGTGTTATAATAAATAATGAGAAAATTGGATTTATTGTATAGCCATTTATGGGCACTGTTCAAGAACATATGTGTAGCATGAAGTGAGAAGATTTTTTACTGATATCTTTGGGTCATTGATCTTTTACCAAACTTTTAAAACAAATAATTGAATGAATTTCTAAAAATTAATAGTTGAATGAATTTGTATTCAAATCTGTTTAGTGTAGTAGTCTATTATATCATTTAGAGCATTATTTCTGTATCTCAGGAAGCTGAATATGGTGGGCATGATCAGATAGATTTGTATGACGATGTCATCTCTCCATCGGCAAATAATGGAGATGCCCCAGAAGATCGGGATTACATGGATACTCTCCCACCAACTGTTGGTGATGATGTGGGTAAAGGAGCAGCACCAAATGTTGTCTATACATATACTGGAAAGAGAATTGCATTGTACATTGGAAACCTAACATGGGTAAGTAAACTTACCATATGAATTAGATTATTGGCAATTGATTTTTAACTACTCCAATAGTTAATGTTTTTCTCAAGTTATATAAAAGAACTTGAAGTTACTAGATTGGTTGTTCTGTATGCTTGCTTATGCAGTAAGGAGAGCAATAAAAGTACCTTTAAAACATAGACTCCAGATCTTCTAGTTTTGAATTTTGTAGTCATTCAATTTGTTTTAGTAGAGATACCAATTAAATATAGTTCAACTAGTTTGTCTTCAAGGCAGTTGTTTTCTCCCACTTCCAGACTTCATCTGTTTCAGTTTTACAAAGAAAAAAATGTTCACATAAGGTCTCAAAACCAGAATTCAGAACTATAGGAGAGAAAGAGACACAATTCATATTACAGACTTGTTGAGTTTAATTTCTACTCTTAAATTTGAAATCTGATTTATGGAAATACTGCTGTATACATTATTTTAATTTCAGTTTATGAGACTGCAAGATTAGCGGTTGGCAGTTTCATTAAGTGGATGTTTAATATAACTTGTTAATTTTATTAGCATTAAATTTTAAATACTAAAACAGTCCTATAGAATTTTTATATCTCTACTTGGAAACATGTATATACTGGGAAGTTTAAAAATTGTCTAGTAATCAAAACTTATCTTTTCTCAAAAGGAGACTTGACTTTGGGTGGTGAACACACAGAATAGTATACCAACAATTTTAAAAAAGTTGATTTGAGGGAGAGAAAGAAAGGAACATTGATTTTGTTGTTTCACTTATTTATGCATTCATTTGTTGATTCTCGTAATATGTGCAGTGGCTGGGAATTGAACCTGCAACCTTGCTGTATCCGGATAATGCTCTAACCAACTGAGCTACCTGGCTATGGCGTATTCCAGCTATTTTCAATTGGAGTGCTGCCAGAGTTAAAACATGCAGTACATTACTATTTAGTCAGGGCACTGACCTCTTTTTCCTTAGATTGCTAAGTAAAAAATGACAACAGCCAACACAACAGTAGACTTCTGGTTTGAAAGAATCAGCATTATACCTCCTTTTGTAAGATCAGCAAAAATATTTTTTGGTGTGCCACAAAATTTTAGTCATTAGGTTATTTGTACCATGAGGTGAAAAAGGTTAAAAATTGCTGCAGTGCACACATGATGTATTACAGAATTAACACTTGAAACCTATGTAACTTCATTAACCAATGTTACTCCAATAAATTCAATAAAAATTAAAAAGTTCCTCCTTCTCCACTTTCCTAATAGCATTTTATTTTTAAGTTTTTACATTAAAAAATTAGTTGATCTTCTACCACTCTGACAATTTTATAGTATTGGAGACTGTAGCAGTATAGAATGGTTGTCAAGTAAGGCTTTGAATCTTAGTTCTTCCATTTATTAGTGTGATGTTGGACAAACTCTTTAGCCTTTCTATTGCATATGTAAAATAAGATTAATAGGACTTGTAAGATTGTTTTAAGAGTTAAATATTTGATATAAAATACATGATAGGTACTCAGTACATGTTAGTTTTTTCTTTTTATCTTTTATTTTTTTTTTAATGGGATTTATTTTCCCCAAAAAAAATTGCCTTTAAGAAGAGGAAATGACAAGTGAGATTGATTTTTTTTTTTTTTTGAAAATTTAAAATCTTTGCAGTTTAAAGTTGGAAGAGATCAGAACTTACTAAGAGTAAAAAAAAAAGTCTATTCTATCTCTAAGGGTTTCTAATTTCTGAAAATTAATCAAGGAATAAAGTTTTGTCCTCAGGTCCTTATGTGCTCTTTTAAAATTGGAGACTGACTTAAGTAAACTGCACTTAATTGCACTGAGCATTCGTTTTCTCTTATTTTGAGTTTACTCTTAAAAACTAAATTGAAACAGTAAAAATCATGGATATATTTTGATGCTTAATGAAGGGGAAATGTCTTGCAGTGGACAACAGATGAAGATTTGACTGAAGCAGTTCATTCTTTGGGAGTAAATGATATTTTGGAGATAAAATTTTTTGAAAATCGGGCAAATGGCCAATCAAAGGGGTAAGTGTCCTCGTCATTGTCCAACCCCCCCCCCCCCCCCCCCCAGTAATATAAGTTAGTAACTAGTATTACAATTTTGGGGGTAAGTTTCCTTAAAGCTAGTGGTAACTATAAATGTGTGTAGGGTGCTTTATTATTCACATTGATTGGCAGGAGATTCTTGGGTAAAGAATTGTACTCAATTCATTCACCATGTGGTCTAGCTCACTACAACTAGTGGAGTTGGAAGTGTGGACAGATAATGTCTATTCTTTAATTTTCCTCAGTTTTCTCTGCCTGTGGCTACAGTGATTATTGAGATGACAGTTTGAAGAAGTGTTATTATTCTTGTGATTAAAGGGTGGGGGAAGATGGGCAACTGGCAAATAATGTAACATGGATGTTTTCCTTTATTTTTCTAAACTTTAAACTATATAAATGAGATAAGGTCATTATAGGAACATAATGAAACATTAGCTGTCCAAAAGTAAAAAAATTTAAAAGCCATAATCACACCATCTATAGATGATCATTGTGAACATTTTAGTGCATATACTTTCAGATTTCTTCATAGTGCTTCTTGATATTTTTATTACAAAAAAAATCCAGGATTACAATTCACATGTTTGGATACAAGCAGTAAAACAAGTATTTATCAATAAATAAACATTCTTTCTAATGTCTAATTTTTTCCATTATACCTTGTATGCTATTGTAATTTACCATTCTTATTTTTATTTGGGTTGTTACTGTTTTACCTATTGTAAATGTGTTATAACAGGTATTATTTTATATAACACTATCTCCTGAACATTTGCAGTAGCTCCTTTGGTGTTCCTGCTTTCAGCCTGATCTACAGTTTATGCTGCATGTAGAAGTTGGGAAAAAGAGACATAAATATTTTTCTACTCAGAATCTTCTAATGGCTTCCTGTCTCACTCAGAGTAAAAGCCAGAGTCTTTACTGTGGCTACAGGCACTGTGCAATCTGTTTCACCGCCACCTCTCTGACATTATCTCCCACCACTCTTCCCTTCCTTACACAGTTTCTCTTTGTTGTTCCTCAAACACATTCCTACTTAGGACCTTTACATAAGAGGTTTCCTCTTTTAGTTTACTTTCTCCTCAACTATGCACATGGATCTCACTTTGTTCAGGACTGTGTTTTAAAGTTCCCTCCCTGACCGTCTTGTGCAAAATAGCACCTTCTGTTCCCATCACTGTGTTTGTTTCTTTTTTCTTTTTTCCTGTTACTAGTGTATTTTTACTTGTTTGTTGCCCTGTGTCCTATTACAAGTTGAATGAAAGTAGGGATTTTGTTTTGTTCGCTACTGTATCCCTAGCCCTAGAATGTTGCCTGGCATGTAGGAGGTATTATGTTGCTCAATAAATATTTGTTAAATTAATGAATTCATTAAATTTTTTTCTAAATTTAATCTTGACTCAAAACTGGAATTTTTTTGTTGACCAGAATAAGGAATCTAGTTAATGACCATTTTGAACATTAGGGAGAAAAGGATTCTAAACTCCAAGAACCCTTCTGATAATAATCTAGAATGTTGTGTAGCTGTGCAAAATTGGTAATCATTTTTTGTTTCAAATGTATTTTTCTTAATTGTGATATAATTCGTATACCATAAAATTCATCCTTTTAAAGTACTCTAGTATACTTATAAAATTGTTCAAGCATTGCCACTAACTCATTCCAGAACATTTTCTCACCCCCAAAAGAAATCTTACACCTATTAAGAAGTCCGTATGGATTTGCTTATTCTGAACATTCCATATAGATGGAATCATACAATAAGTGGTCCCTTCTTTCACTTAGCATAATGTTTTCAAGGTTCATCCATGTTGTAGCATGTATCAATACTTAATTCTTTTTATGGCTACATATTCCATCATAGGAATATACATTTTTAGCAATGTCACCCATTATTTGATGGACATTGGGGTGTTTCAGTATTTGCTATTATGAATAATGCCCCTGTGAATATTCATGTATCAGGTTTAAATGAACATATATTTTTAGTTCTGTTGGATACACACATGTGCACACACACACAGAGGAGTGGAATTACTGGATTATGTGTTAACTCCATATTTAACTGTCTGAGGAACTGCCAGATTATCAAAGTGGCTGTGCTATGTTGCATTCCCATCAGCAGTGTATGAGAGGTCCAATTTCCTCTCATCCTCACTAACACTTGTTACTGGTTTTTTTGATTAAAGCTATCCTAGTGGATGTGATATGGTATCTCCTTGTGGTTTTGATTTACATTTCCCTGGTGGTTAATGATGTTGAGCATCTTTTCATAGTGGCATTATTTGTCATAACCAGAAAGTAGAAACAACTCAAATATCCATCAATGAATGGATTTTTTAAATGTGTCCTATCCATATAATTGAATATTATTCTCCCCTAAAAAGGAGTTAAGTACAGATACATGAACATGATTAAATCTTGAAAACATTATGCTGAGCAAAAGAAGCCAGTCACAAAGGACTGCATATTTTATTGTATGGTGTCATTTATATGAAATGGCCGAAATAGGCAAATCCATATTTAGAAAGTGAATTAGTGACTCCTTGGGGTTGGGGGATGGGAGGAAATGGAATGGTGGCTAATGGGTTTGAGGTTTCATTTAGGGGTGATAAAATATTCTAAAACTGATTGTGGTGATGGTTGTAAAACTCTGAATGTACTAAAAACCACTGAACCATACCCTTTAAATGAGTAAATTGTACGTTATTTTAAAAAGTTAAAGATGAAAGTGTGAGGTTGTACAGCTTAAATTAAGAAATATTTTAGATAAAATTGAATTCAGGCTATTTAACAATAGTAACATTATTAATGCCTCCTCACTTTCTACCCTGCCCCTTTAAACATCTCTTAGGTTTGCCCTTGTTGGTGTTGGATCTGAAGCATCCTCAAAAAAGTTAATGGATCTGTTGCCGAAAAGAGAACTTCATGGTCAGAATCCTGTTGTAACTCCATGCAATAAACAGTTCCTGAGTCAATTTGAAATGCAGTCCAGGAAAAGTAAGCAATTCCTCTGAGGCTTTTATTAGAAGAGGTGTATTTTACTCAAAGTTGCTAGCATTTATTAGATACGATACTAGATAAATCATCTTAATATTTAGTTTGTTGGGGAACCCGTTTTTGAAAGTCCGTGCTTTCAGTTTGATTTAATTACTGGTTATGACTATGGTTCTGTGTACTGGAAACCTCCTCCCATTTTTCTCTAGGTGTCACAAACCCATACTATTCAACAGTGTGCAAGTTCTATAGCCCTACCATGCTTTTCCTGTCATTCCCATCCTAGAGAAAGGAAGAAACTACATTCTAATCCTTAGATTGAAGCAAACTTAATGTGGATGTGTGTTATGGTGGTGGAGAACCCACTGATAACCAGAAAATATTCGTTGATTTCTGCTTGGTACCAAGACCTTTCACCACTTGGTAAAGTGAATATAGAAAAGATTTGCCATTACCCACTTATGAATGTTATCACTTACAGAGATAATTTAATATGGATGATCATGTAATTAACAGAAATTCAAGTGGCACTTAAGGCTTAACTGAAGAATATGTTGCAAAATTTAAATGGTTTATGTTTAATGAAATTCAGATTTCTGTTGGAGAATTGTGGTCTTGGCTGCTGCAGAGTACTGTATTTTGAAAGTAACTCATTTATTTCTTGGAAGTACATGTATGCCTGAATATTTGATACTTCAAAAGAACTTAAGTATATGTGAATGTTTTCCTAACCAATACTTCTGAAGTAGTTTGGATAGGCCCAAGGCATCTACAAGTTAGTATATAGTATAAATGAACTTTGAAATATGGTTGTTTCTAATAACAGTGGTTACATTTCAGAGAACTATTTTAATAAATGCTATTTATGAGTATTTGGATATTTGCAGCTACACAATCAGGACAAATGTCTGGGGAAGGTAAAGCTGGTCCTCCGGGAGGCAGTTCACGTGCAACATTTCCACAAGGTGGTAGAGGACGGGGCCGTTTTCCAGGGGCTGTTCCCGGTGGGGACAGATTTCCTGGGCCAGCAGGACCAGGAGGGCCACCCCCACCTTTTCCAGGTAAAAATTTTCTTAAATTACCATGGATAAAATGTATCTATCTAATACCTCTTTTCCTTTTCTCTCTTTTCAAGTAATGCATTATTAATGTGTCTTACTCTCCTTGTTATGCTATTTTTGGAATCCAGGAAATTTGATCAAGCATCTTGTTAAAGGAACTCGGCCTTTGTTCCTGGAAACTAGGATTCCATGGCATATGGGGCACAGCATAGAGGAAATACCCATTTTTGGCCTAAAAGGTCTTTATTTTTCTCCAAACTTGCTTGACTTATATATAGAATATTTACATCCGTCTTATTTTCTTACCTCTTAAAATCTTTCAAGACCATTTTTCCTTGTTTCACTTTCTAGCTTGGCATCAGAGTAGAATATAAGGTGGGTTATTTCACCATAAGAAATGTGTGTATACTGAAAGATGGAAACTATCTCTAAGCATTATTGTCTTTTGTCAAGTTTTTGTTTCAGTAATTTTTCTTAAGCATAAATTGAGAAGTTAAATTTGTAAGGATAGACTTCACCTTTGTAATTGTTAGTGTAGCATTTACCACATGGGTTTTATTTAAAGAGAAAGCATCTTGGTCTGTGAGTTATGCTTTAAAAGTATAACCTTGGCATAAAGGTTAAAAATACCTTATTGAAGTGTTTTTCTCCCTCTCTCTCCCCCCTCCCTCTCTTCCCTTCTCCCTGTCCCTTTCTCTCTCCGTCTCTCCACTTTATTCTGTAGCTGGACAGACTCCACCACGTCCACCCCTAGGACCTCCAGGCCCACCTGGTCCACCAGGTCCTCCACCTCCTGGTCAGGTTCTGCCTCCTCCTTTAGCCGGGCCTCCTAATCGAGGAGATCGCCCCCCACCGCCAGTTCTTTTTCCTGGACAACCTTTTGGACAGCCTCCATTGGGTCCGCTTCCTCCTGGTCCTCCACCTCCAGTTCCAGGCTATGGCCCCCCTCCTGGTCCACCACCTCCACAACAGGGACCACCTCCACCTCCAGGCCCTTTTCCACCTCGCCCTCCTGGTCCTCTTGGGCCACCCCTTACACTCGCTCCTCCTCCGCATCTTCCTGGACCACCTCCAGGTGCTCCACCGCCAGCTCCACATGTGAACCCAGCTTTCTTTCCTCCACCAACTAACAGCGGCATGCCTACATCAGATAGCCGGGGTCCACCCCCAACAGATCCTTATGGCCGACCTCCGCCATATGATAGGGGTGACTATGGGCCTCCTGGAAGGTGAGTTAGTATGTGTTTATGAATTGTGTTTGGTAAAAGATATTCTAGGCTCCATCACTGAGGGTTGTGGTGTTTTTTTTTGTTTGTTTGTTTTTTAATTATGTCCTTTTCTGCAGGTATTTAGTTTTCTCTTCTCTTCTTATTAGAAAAGGCAGTATGATATGGTGAAAAACATACAGAACAGGGTTTGGGAATAATCCAGCTCCGCCACATATATAGCCATGTGATTTAGGGCAAGTCACTAAATCCTGGAGAGTCATTTCTTCATTTTTTAGGTTAAAAGAGGTTTAAAAAGATAATTTATTATTTTTAAAATTATTATCTAAAAAATAATAAAGTTTAAGGGTCATCATATTTGCAAAAATAAAAAATAATTTAAGCAAGCATATGGAATTCTATTTTTAAGATTTTAATATTTGAATCTTATTTACTAATTGATGGCATTACACAGAAAACTAAAGTTTCTTCATTGTTTTAGGAATTAGATGAGTTTGTTTGATAACTACTACAGATTATCTCATGCTACCTGTGAGTCCTGAGTGGCACATTACTAACTTTTAATTAAAATGGGAACATTAAATAATGTACAAGAGTATTTGGGTAGACGAAGGCTTGTAAAACACAGGCCTTGTGGAAATTAAAATAATGGCAACTTTGGAGAAAAGCTGGGTGGAAATTCCTGTTGAACTAAGTGATGTCTTAGCCCCTTTTCAAAGTAATTTAAAAATTATCTATACTGTCATAACTTGGAAAGCTGTGTTTATAGTTTCCAAGAAATGGCCCTGGCTGGTATGGCTCAGTGGATTGAGTGCTGGCCAGCGACCCAGCGGGCTGCCAGTTCAATTCCCAGTCAGGGCACATACCTGGGTTGTGGGCCACATCCCCATTGGCGGGTATGCGAGAGGCAACCACACGTTGATGTTTTTCTCCCTCTCTTTCTCCTTCCCTTCCCCTCTCTAAAAAAATAAAATCTTAAAAGAAATATTTCCAAGAAATGTTTGCCCCTTCAGTTTCTTTTGAGATTATTGTTTAATTATCACTTTTAAACTACTTTGTGTTTCATTTTGTCTGAGAATCCTCCAGAATGGATTTCAGTGTCTGCCTAATACTATATAATTGACCAGACCCTCCACCCCCAGTAAATTTGGTGTTGTAAACAAAGTCTGTTAATAGTTATCTCTCCATAGAGGTTGCATCTTTGTGATTACCAAAAATGCTTCATTTTCTATAGAAGAAAATGTTACAACTGCTAAGTTAGTATAATTTTTATTTTATTCACTTCAATTCCCATGGCCAACTACATGTCAAGTGTTCACCTTTAGTATATAGAGTTGGGTTGGATGACTGGTTCAGCAGCTTAAAATTTGAGCCATATCCAGTATCAGGTTTTCAAGAACTGGAGGAGGTATTATTGACGAATTTTTTAATGGGCAGGGTGTGTGCTGATTTTCGATGGGTAGAAGTCACAGCATTTAGTTGAGATCATATATGGATTTTGAACAACTTATAATTTGGTCAGAATGTTTATAAAGTTTTTTTGTGAATAAAATTAACACCTTATAAAAAAAAGCATGCAAAACTTAGATGAGCTGTGAATAGCCTCAACTCCGTATCCTAAACGTCAGTGTCTTACCAAGTAACTAGTAACTAAGATAGCAAAAAAATTTACCTTATCCTGTACTGTACATACAAAATTTTTAAAGTTGTCTTTGTCAAGCAGCTTTAGAAAATCTTGGCATTTTATTCATTTTTTTCAACAAATATTTACACTTAGTACTTTTTATTTTCCAGATACTCTTCTAGGGATTCAGTGGCAAACAAGATCTTGTCTGTCCTGAAATTTTATCATACTTTTTTCTTTTTGAGATTTTATTTATTTATTTTTAGACAGAGGAGAAAGGGAGAGAAACATCAGTGTGTGGTTGCCTCTTGCATGCCTCTGGCCTGCAACTCAGGCATGTGCTCTGACTGGGAATCAGACTGGTGACCCTTTGGTTTGCAGGCTAGCATTCAGTCTCCTGAGCCACACCATCCAGGGCCATCAGACATTTATTATTCTTCAATTGTGAGTTGGGCCCTATGCCTAGAGGATCCAAACATAATGAAACCAAATTCCTGCTCTTGATTTTATAGGCTATGTTTTTTGTAGTTAACTGTGTGTGTCTGTGTATGTATTCATCAGAACAATTTCTTATACCTATTTTTGTATGTCTGAAGAATATTATATTGTAGGGATGTGAATATATTGTTTCTGGACCTCAGACAAGATTTCTAAGCAACTTCATTTTATCTGTAAGATAATGGTGTAAGAATTTTGCTTAGATTTGCTTTCTTTGTAGGAGAAAATAACATGCTTCAATCTGGAAAAGTAAACCTTAGCTTTAAGGCCTTTGTCAAAAGCAACCAGTATGAAATCCTTTATGCTATTAATACTAATTTAGAAAATCTGTTGAGTATGATTTAAGGTTTATTTTTATTTCATAGGGAAATGGATACAGCAAGAACACCATTGAGCGAAGCTGAGTTTGAAGAAATCATGAACAGAAACAGGGCAATCTCAAGCAGTGCTATTTCAAGAGCTGTGTCTGATGCTAGTGCTGGTTTGTATATTTCTTCCTGATCTGTTTATTTATTTTTAGAGAGAGGGGAAGGGAGGGAGAAAAAGGGAGAGAAATATTAATGTGTGGTTGCTTCTTGCACACCCACCACTGGGGACCTGGCCCACAACCCAGGCATGTGCCCTGACTGGGAATTGAACCAGTGACCCTTTGATTCACAGGCTGGCACTCAATCCCCTGAGCAACACCAGCCAGGGTTAATACTTCTTATTTATGTTATTAAGAATAATCATTTAGATGTAGTAATTTTTATATTTCCAAATCATTACCTGTATTTTATTTTAAAAGGTATTGAAGAGAGCCATGTGTCACAGTTTAATGGAAAAACACCTAATTAAAAATTTTTAGATGTAGGCTTAAATCTTATCCCTGACATTAATTCAGGAGCCTTAGGGTAACTCATTTATTATCATATTTACAAACTGATAACCTGCTTTACACAGCTATAATAATAACAAATTGTATTCTTTCTTTTTCCAAATGGTGAAACACTGAAAAAAAAGGAAAAATTAAGACATTTTCTGTGATTGTTTTAAAGTTCACTCCTTTTGTAAAATGCTTTATCACTCTTACTCCAGGTGGTTTGGTGTTACTTTGAAAACAAAATTCATTTGACTTGAGCCTCTCTTCCCCTCGCAGGTGATTATGGGAGTGCTATTGAGACATTGGTAACTGCAATTTCTTTAATTAAACAATCCAAAGTATCTGCTGATGATCGTTGCAAAGTTCTTATTAGCTCTTTGCAAGATTGCCTTCATGGAATTGAATCCAAGTCTTATGGTTCTGGATCAAGGTAAAACTTTCCTGTCTCATGTTTATTTAAAACTACTGCTTTTACAAATAGAAAAATAATATGTTTGGGACTTTAAAATAGGACTTTGATTATACTTATTACTGTTTACTCATTAGAGTTTTTTGTGCTTTTTTTTTTTTTTTTTTAACTCTGAATCGAATGTCAGGTGTTCATTTGCTTAAAACCCCTTAAGGACTTCCAGTTACTCTTAGAATAAGACTGTAAACAGACTGTGCGATAATAGTCCCTGTCTTTTCATCTTCATTGTGTACCTGTCCGCTTGCTTACTATTCTCTTGCTATACTGGTCTCCCTTCTCTTTCTCTTGACACCTCAAACACTTGATAATCTCACTGTTTTTATGTTTGACATTCTTTCTTTTAGGAGCCCTTTTCTTTGGCTCATCACACGGTTTCTTATTTTTCGTGCCTCTAACTTCTAACGGGTCTTCTCCTGGGATATTTTGTCATGTTCTGTTATTTCTTTCATAGTACTTACTACATTCTTATTGTTAATTTACTTTTTTTTTTCTTCTCACTTTTAAAGATGGAAGGGGCCTTCCTCATACCGTTCACTACAATGTTTCTTTTTTTAATCAACTTTATTGGGCTGACAGTAACATTATATAATATTCAAGTGTACGATTCAATAATACATTATCTACGTATTATATTGTGTGTTCACCACCAAAGTCTAGTTTCTTTTCATCATCATATATTTGACCCCCCCCCTTACCTTCTTCAGAATCTTCCTACCTCCCTTACCTTATACTGTTGTCACCATAGTGTTGTCTGTCGATGAGTTTTATTGTTTGTTGCTTTCTGTTTCATCTCCGACATAGGAATGAAATCATATGGTTCTTGTCCTTTTCTATCTGACCTAACTGCGTTTAGCATGATGCTGTCAGGATCCGTCCATGTTGTTGCTAATGGAAGTATTTCATCCTTTCTTACAGCCGAGTAGTATTTCATTGTGTATACGAACATTGTGTATGTGTATGGACATCTTCATCCAGTTATCCATCGACAGACACTTTGGTTATTTCCATGTCTTGGCTACCATGCGTAATGCTGCATTGAACCTAGGGGTACATTGTATCTTTATAAATAAATGTTTTCTAATTTTTTTGGTGGGTACCCAGAAGAGGGATTCCTGGGTCATATGGTAGCTCTATTCTTAATTTGGGGGAGAACCTCCACACTTGTTTTCCATAGTGGCTGTCACTGCAGTACTTCTAATGACTGTACAGAGTGGGTGCTAAATAAACATTTCTTGAACAAGGGAGTTTATGGATGAAAGATCTATTCTTAGTTTTTTAATTAGGTGAATTCCATTTTTTAGCATTACTGCTAACCTTGAAATTTTGGATATTTTTGAAAGTTAGATCTTTAATCTTCACATGATACTCTTAGATCTGTCTTTTGTGTACTTTATCTGGTGGTAGAGTCTGCTTCATAAAACTAAGGAAAAGGAGCTTGTCATTGTTATGGTCCCCAACTTTATAATTATTAACGTTTGACCCAGTATAAGGATTTTTATCTGAACAAATTAGTCATAGCTAAAAACCATATCTTACAGTTTTCTTTTAAACTGTTGAAATCCAAAGTAAGCACCTAATAAATGTTTGCTACATGTAGTTGTCTGGTGCAAAAACACAAAGTAGAAATTTAAACTCATACACAGTTTTTATCTCCTTGTTGTGAATTTCAAATTTAGAATAGAATTTCTAAAAGTACTTTAGGGAACATACTTTGTTAAATTACCTGTTTTTCAAGTGGTTTGTGAGACATTTCTCTTCATTAAGTAACAATGTGAATAGTATCCCAGCCTCTACCAGTGGTCGCAATTACTAGGTTTTCTCCTCTGCTGCTTACTGCACTTCCCAGCCCTTGAAGCAAACATGTATACATTTTTAGAAAACGTCTTAGAGCAGTAGCATATTTTGGTTGGTTATAAATGTAAATTTAATATTTATTTATAGGTTTAGATAATCTATGTTAATAGGTGATATTTATATATTTAAGTTCCATTGTATATTGAGTAACTTCATGAATTTACAGAACTACCTTCTCTATGTCCTTTAGCATGAAACAGAAGTTCTTTGAAATTTTATCCTTCACCTTTCTGTTTTTCATTCAGTAAACACTACATTTCTGTTTTAGACTATTACTTATAATAGATATAACAGATGATACGGTGTGTTGCCCTGGTGTGACAGGTTCCCAATTTGGGGGTGAATATTTTTAAAAATGGAATTTCTACTTCATACTTTTAGGTGAGTTAATAAATCATTATCAACAATTCAGGATATCTTAAGTCTAAATTAGACTTACAAAGAATTTTTTTGCCTTTGGTATTTTTGGTGTTAAACACCAAAATATTGAAAATCTTTTTAAGCTATGCAGTTAAGGAGAGCATTAATCCAGTAATTTCTTTTAGAAGACGTGAACGATCAAGAGAGAGGGACCACAGTAGATCACGAGAAAAGAGTCGTCGTCATAAATCCCGCAGTAGAGATCGTCACGATGATTATTATAGAGAGAGAAGTAGAGAACGAGAGAGACACAGGGACCGGGACCGGGACCGAGACCGAGAACGTGACCGAGAGCGCGAGTATCGTCATCGTTAGAAGGTGAGTATTCCTTATTCCTGCTGTACTTAGTATATACATTATTAACAGTCATCATAACTCCGAGGCTGTTGTTTATACAGTATATACCTACATTTTAAATGGTCCAACTACTTGTTCTGTTCTGAATTTAATCTTCTGGAAGCATCTGAAACAAATGACAGGTAAGTAATAACAGGTAAAAAAATCTTGACCTTTTTTTTGAATATTGTATTGCTGAGTTATAACTTTTAGCTTTCAGATTGTTAAGGGTCTTAGGAAAGCAAGAAAATAATCAAGAGGACTCATTGTCTACTTCTGAAATCTAGAAATTAGAATTCTCTTAATCACATAGTAAGCATGTGATTTAAAATATAAAAATACCGGGAGTTACTTCATATATATATGTAAAGTGCATGGACTTTAAAAAATAAATTTCAGGTTTCTCTCCTGGAACAAACTTAATTTATCCCTAAAACTTTTAAAAGGACAGGATGGTTACTCAACTTTCAAAGAGCATTTCTACTTTCACAAAAAACCATTATTTAGTAAATATAGTTTTTCTAGTGTCTGGTGTTTTTGTTTTTAAAAGAAAAGAAATAATATAATTTGCAAAGAAGATATAACACTTATTCCATTTAAATGGGTTCAGGGTACTTCGTATCTGTGAATTTTAAATTGTATCAAATTATACATCCCAGGTTAGAATAACCTTGAAATAATTTTCTTTGATGTCTCATTCATAAACCATAATCATTGTCTTTTTTTCTGTATTTTAAAACTTTCTTGTGTACATTTTTCATAAAGCGGGAAGAGTTGTCTGTTTCTACTTCATTTTTCACGTGTAACTTTATTTTTATTCATGTGAAAAGTGGGAGGAGGGCACTACAAAGACTTGTGCATATTACACAAAGGTTATTCTGTAAACAAATATTTTCTTTATATGTTGGTGGCATACTCAAATTAGGCTAAAACAAACCCTTTATACGTAACTGCTCTTCACATGATTGTTTTCCTTAATCATGGGAAACACTGAAAAATTCAGTGATGGTAATTGTTAGTATTTAAATTGTTACGGACAAAATCAAAGACTATCAAATGTATAATTTTGTGGTAGGATAGCAGTTTCTTTAACTATAGTAGGTATTTATAGCAAATGGTAAATTTCTTTTTAATAATACTATTTATAAAGTAAGTATGTAAGTCTTATTTTTATGGTACACAGCAGGCTATTTCACTAATTATTTCTAGTTTTAAGGGATCTTTGAAGTGAAAAGACTAGTTTTAAAACTTTTCCTTGCATTTCAAAGATGCATTTTGAGTATCAAAATTTTAATTTTAAAATAATCCTCTGTGTATTGTATTATAGAACGCAATATAAATAACTCAAAACATTTTTAATATGATGCAAATCACCTTTCACTTTTAAAATTAAGCTTATTGAAATTGATACTGTGTTTTGGATATGAGTAAGAATTGAATGTTGTATCATGTAAATTCAAACATTAAATTTTAAACATACAGGGTTTTTTCCCCTTGGGTTGAATAGATCTGATCTCATCTTGCGAAAAACTACTCAGTGTCCATCAGTTGCTTAAGGTGAATTGTGGCCAACTTTATATCAGCCATTTCATTTATATAATAAGGTACAGATCCTACAAGTTAAATTTTTATTTAGACTTTGTCAGCTTTCAATAAGATTCCATTTACTGAAGGCATGTTAATGAAACCTGCATACATTTTCAGTCATCTCTTAAGATTATATGTCTTCATCAGGGGCTTCTGAACCAGTTTGTGCCCAAAATTAATTAATGAGTTTGGGTTGGTTTTTTCTTTGTTGTGGTGGTGGTTTTAACTGGTTCTATTTAAACTAGCATAGTGTTTGAATTAACTAACATTACATTCTTAGTAATGGGTACACCTAAATAGATTACTTACAGCTTGAGTTTCATTAAGGATTCAGACATTAATTGTGAATTCCTAACTTGCAAACTATTTGTTGACATTTCTTATAAATCACTGATGTGTACCATACCAAAATTTCCATGTTTTGTTTGTACATTAATCAGAATTGAGTTGTAATATTGTTATGTGCCTACATCCAAGCAAAATTTTACATGAGCATTTCCAGTGCAGAAAATTCTGTTATTCTGGAATATTATACCTTTGCTATACCAAACTTACTTATTACATGTGTAGACATGAATAAAGGAATGGGGACTGGGATAGTCAACTTTCTGCACTTTTATTAGCCATAATAATAAGGTCTGTTGACCTTTACAGAAGTTTTTAAATATGAGTCCTTTTGAGCTTTTATGTAAATCTTAAATTGACTATATGGAGTAAGAGTAACTTGGAAGCTGAAGTGAATGCCAGTAAGTCTGTATATAAATAAAATAATAATGTAATCTATTACTAAAGTGCTGATAAATGGCTAAAAAAGCAAGTTCTTAATTTAACTGGAAACATAATGATGTTGGCAAGCTGTTAATGTCTGTTCCATTTTAATTTTTTTGTGTTCGAACTGTTGGTAATGTTAATTGCATTCTCTCATTTTTAAAATGTATTAGTTTTTCCAAAAGCAATATAGTATCTAATTTTAAATAGACAATATTTTAATGGGAGTATCAGTATTGTAAATTTTTGTTATGTAAATACATTGTGCTTCAAATTCTGTAATTTCTGCCTCTATTCTCAGACCACTCTGAGCAAAACAAAAGTATTTCCATGTTTTAAGATTGTACACTTCTTACAGAAATAATTTTACTTTCATAGTTGTATTATTTTAGGTTGCATTCCACTTACTACTTGTTTGGAACAACCCTACTCAGTAAATTTCTGTTAACAGTTCAGTTTCTCTTTGTGTACTAAAGAGTATTAAAACCAAATTATTTTTAAAAATACTTTTTATTCATCTCTCCCTGATAAATGAGGTTTTATATATTCTCAAATCATTATCCGTTTCTTTGATTTTAAAAATTTAAGCATTATGTATGAAATATGAATTAAATAATTTTACTTTTTGTTGAATGATTACCTTAGACATAAATGTTACGATCTTAAAAGGTTGGTGTTGCACAAGATTTAGGGCACTTTGCATTCCTTATTCAGTTTATAACTTTTCATTAATTTGGAAAAAACTTTAAAAAGCCAAAAGAACCATAAATTTTTCCTTGTGTATTAAGATGTTTCATTTTCTTAAGAGTTAGTATTACTTTGAGGCTTATGTGAAAATTAAACTCTCCTAATTACCTGATGAAGGATACTGGTGGTAATGAGATTGAAAAATTATGTTTGTAACTCTCAGGTCATCTGAGATCTGCCTTAATATTGTCCAGCCCTGTGTTTTCTTTGTGTTTTCCCGGATATCCTAACTGCTTCATTTGGATATGCTAGCTTTCACTTTTTTTTGCTCTAATTTTTCTTGCTTTTAGTATTACTTGCAAAACCTGTCTGACTATACAGCTGTCTTAATTGTTAAGTGTGGGAGGGTAGGAAGTGATCCTGTTGAATGACTGTATAGTGTGTTTGCTCACTGTGGTTTAAGAATATGGTTGTTGACAAACAATTTATGTTCCCTCTTAAAAAAATAATTGGTGCCAGTGTGAGTCACTTTGCTCTCACCATCATCTTAGTATGAAGTTTATTGCCATTGTTTTAGTTTGTAAATTAGATTGTTTTGAATGAATAATATTTTGAATGACTAGTTAGCATTGTTAAACGAAAACCTGATAACCAACAAGGGCTAAGTTTGCCGTATACACTATCTAGATTTACCAATTTGCTTTCTGCAGTAGCATATTTATACTCTTGCAGTGAATTCTGAATCACATGAACAACTTATTTTGAAATGTCCATTTTGTGAAATTTTAAGGGCAAAGCCAAGTTTTTGTGGTGAAGGTTATTTCTACTCTTTAGTGAACTGCCTATAGCAACAATCATGTAAAGGGTTTATAGTGTAATGAAAGGCTTTAGTTAAAATGAGGTAAGTACTGTGCCTAAAGGTTGAAAGATGGAAATATGAAATGTTTGGGTAGTAAGGGAATTTTTTGTAAACATCTACACTAAACAGAATTTTGTATAATACATTCTTGTTGATGCAGGAAGGAATTCTGATTTTTGAAAAGATTTAACTTATATTAAAGATACTTCTGTTTCTTTTGCTCACCGTCTCCATTCCTCTCATTAAGGAGAAATTTTGAGATAAAAGTGAATTTTATTTCACTGAGTTAATAGAAGCACATCTTTAAAATACTAGAATTATTAAAATTCAGTGATTAATACAAAAACCTACAAAAGAGCCATATTAATATACATTTGAATCTTTTACTTGAAGGTTGGATTTGTCATGCATTTAAGATACTGTTGCTAACAAATTTGGTTAGATAGTTTTTAACACAGAACTCATCATTTTAGTTGTTAGTATTGACTTGATCTCACATTAATCTGAAAATGCAGATGCCTCTCTGTATTGAAATTTTATTTAGTGCTCACTTGAAAGACTTCATTGAGAAGGTGCAGGTTCCATTTGTCGACTTAGTTGTTTTTAACCCATTATAGTAGATCTCCTTTTTATGACTGATAGCTAAAGCAAGTAATTGTGTGGATTTGACATGAAAAGATCTGACCAAATGGTATTCTGAAAACAAGCATTGGATGTATTTGTCAATTTTAAGCTTTTTGATATCTTTGTTTATGTAGATGTCTACTTAGAAATTTAAGACTATAATATGGAATTGGGCTATTGGATATGGGTTGTTGTTGCCTTCAAATTTGCTTCCATTTCAGTTTGTAAATTTTGTATTTCCACAATGGATAACTGTAACATGTTTAGAGATAGAAATATAAATTGTCAGAGTATTCCCCAGATTTTATGTCTGTATGGTGAAAATGAGAGACTTATTAATAGTAAAGATCTAACTCAAAAGTATAAATCATGCAAAAGATGAGTTCATTCGTCCTGGATAAAGATGTTTTGTAATTTTATGAACAGGATTTTCTACATTAAAAACAGTAAAATTTTCCATTGGAGTGATGAATGATATAAAGTTGGAATGTATGCTATATGTGTTTTGGAAGCGTTGGGTATTTTTATTTTGCTCACTGTCACATTAAATAAACTTTCCCTTTTAATGACTCATCCTTCCAAGCATAAAGAAAACAAAACAGGGAGCTAGCATTCTTTTGCAGTAAGATTGATGGCTTTTTTCAGTAATCCATTTTTTCATATCTGTTGTCACTTTAATACTATGATACTAGTTTTAAAAGTACATTGCAAATAAAAATAATACATGAAAGCAGCCTTTCTAGATTTTTTTCCACCAAAAGGTTCATCAACAATAAGATAAGGGCAGGTAACAGGTGACATTAGAAATAGCTTAAATAATCTTTTTGAAGAACACAGACAAATAGAAACCATTTAAAAGAGAAAGTTCAGGATTGTAGCGCTGTTTTTTTCTTTTGCGGCCATGCAGTTCAGGATTTACTGCTAGGCAGTATAAATATTATGTATATGTGTACTGGTGCTCTTAAGATTCTCACAGCTAGTGGAAAGGACATAAATGGTGAAATTTATAGTTACAACAGAATATTAATTACTCTTAGTAGAGCAAGAGTATTTCTTAATTTTATGGCAAAATACCACTAAAATATTGTGCTTTTTTGCCTCTTACTGTTTCAATAATAAGATTTATTGAAATGTTCTCTTTGCATTTATATTTTAAATGCCTGGTACTTCAGTAATCACTTATATCCAAGTTAATTAAATGTCTTTTTTGTGAAGCTCTACTTGAAGTTTATATATTTATGTATTCTTGAATTTTAGTTTATGAGATTTATTGGTTGTTTTTTCTTTATGTGAGTTTTCAATGAAATTTATCATTGTAGATCTCTATTTAGCTTGTTTTTGGTTAGTTTATATACATTAAATATTTAAATATAGGTGAAATAGAGTGAAAGTTAATGTTTTAAATTTGTATTATGTCTAAAGATTTGTATGTGGATGTTATTTAAATGTGCATACTGAGCTATATATTCATAAATTTTATTTATAAATATTGTAACATGGAGGACCTTTTGATTGATAAAATTTCAAAAGTTCCTGTATGCTGTCAAATAAATACAACTAATTTGTAAACTAATTTATTGCATTTTATATTCAGTTCGCATTTCATTGTTAATGCGTTCTATAGAATTGATATGTGGCTGAATGAAAAATAATCACATTAAATCGTTCAAGCATTTTTCATTTATTTTTGTAGTATGCATACTTTAGGAAATGACTTACAAATGTTTTTATCACAGAAACAGTAGCTGTTATATTTTCACTTCTGTTTTCAGTCATTAAATTTATAAGGCTGTAATGTCCACGAAGAATGAAATCAGAATGTCTCGGTTTTAATTTTTATATAAATTGGGAGCATTTCTCCACCACAAAGGCAGCTACTGTTTCAGTTAATTCTTATTTTGTGTTAGAATACTTAATAGTGAAGTAGATGCACGACTTGTGTATGTATAGTTAAGCCAGCGTTTTTCTGTGTATTATGGGGAATAGCAAAATCTACATCACAAATTTTGACACATTACAGCTGAAGGAAGAGGAACACCTTCCAAGACAAAAACAGTCTTCATGAGGGAAACATGACGCTTGTCCAGCAGTTTGCTTCTTGTGATTGAACTGAACCTGTAAGGATTCATGGATAAAATGAACAGGAATAGATCTGAATAAAGCAAATCTGCATAAATGGTAACCAGTAGCTCTACTTTTATTTTTTATGTTGCTTAACTGTTTTTATTTGAAGAAAACCTGTGTGATTTAAAAAGTTATAGCTTTTGCAACTTTATTACTGGTTATATACTTTTTGGCCATTATAATGTGCAAGCAATTGGAAAAATGTCAAGTAAATGCTTGTTTTTATAGTAGTATGTTCTTGTTAAAAATGTTCATATGATAATGTCTGTAAACAGCACCACTTTGATTACAATAGATGTAGTGTTGTAATAAACTGTTTAATGGGGCTGATGTGTAAAGCTGTTCAAGTTATTTGATGTTTACACCTCAGGGAAAGTCTTGTGTTCAGCAATATCTAAAGATAATGTTACTATGACATTTATACTGTCCTTTAAAAACGCATTGCAATAGCATTTTTGGATATGCATCAATCTAATCTTGCGTTCAGTGAATTAAACATACTAATTAAGTGTCTGTTGCCCTTGGTTTTGATATTAGGATAGGTGATTACATGGATATTTAATATTTCTATATTCTGCTTTTCTAGCTGTTTTTACCTAGTTAGCTTGTGATTTTTGCTGTGAATGGTATGTAAACCTGTAAAAATGAAACTTCACAGACATAGCAATTCAGGCAATGTGTAGGGTTCAAAACGATTTTGTGGTTTTAACCTTTTAGTAAAGACTCATACGTTATTTGCTACAGTACTGCAGCTTAATTACAGCACAGATGTACTGAAATGCTTAATTGTAAACTGCTGGCATTGAAAAACAATATTTTGACAGTTCTGATTTGATGCGGCAGTTATTTGTGGTTTTATATTGATAGTGCTCGTAGTTAATTTTTGAAGCCCTGGTCAGTGTAAATACAGTCATGAAGCAGACAGATTGAAGTAAAGAAGGCCTTAGCTTTATTTTCTGGTTACTATATAGAATGCTGAAGGATGTGATGTTTATTAACATCAGGTTGTATTCTCCTGTGTGTGTAATGGGAGCTTATAGGTATATCCTATCTCCACAGTTTAAGGAATTCTGTATATTTTCATGCAGCCTATTGGTTCTTGCTAGAGTTACTTAATCAAAGGTTTTTTTCAAACCTGCCATGCATATAGGCCTACAGAAGCACTTGCCTAGCATATGTTCTTAAATTGCAAGATTAGCATAGGCAGTGTCATTTGATTAGATGTTTTATAGGAAGGTTATCCTGAATCACTACAGAAATTTGAGTTTAAAACCTTAAGCAGGTTACAATTTGATTTTAATGTTTTGGAATCTGATTATTTTTAAGAGATCTTCTGATAATACACATTGGTTTTTTCAAAGTATCACCAAATCTTAGGACAGTGCTTAAGGTATTTTTAGGTATCCTAGATATTATGTCACGTGCAACTGTAGAAGCCCTCTAGAGAACTGTACTGCAGTCCTCACTTTCCTCTTGTGCGCTGTCACACAAGTTCTTACAAAACTAGCTGTTTCAAATTATTCATGATATTGCCAGTTTTATTTTAAAATATTTTGTGAGTGTATTTATGCATGGATCATTGGTGTTTATCAAAACTCTTTGCTCTCAGATTTTTAAAGTCTTTTATCTTGTTGAAAATGCACTTGCCTTTTTAACATTATCTGATAGTTGTATCAATTGATTTTCTTGTTTTCTGTATAGGTGTTTTTTTATTTTTTTGTCATTTTCCTAGTTTTTTATATTTTCATTATAATGTCCTAATGCCAAGTACGGACATAAATATATATTACAGGGGAAATTAGGTAATAGTAAGCTTAAAAGGTAAGTAAATATCCATGATAATAAAATTTTCTCTGAACAATTTTTAAATGGAACCATAAAACTCTAACTGCATTTGAACTTGATGAAACTGGAAATTTTATGCTAATTAAATTCTTCATTTACTTTTTCACTTTTTATCAGTGGAACCCTTTACTGCTCATTCTGTGTCACTCCTCTCCCTACATGGCTGATTTCATTTTGTGGCTTGTTGCAAACGGTGTGAGTGTACTAGAATTGCTTGCTGCTGGTCCTTTATTTTTAAGTATTGTCAGAGGGAAATAACTTTTTGGTTTGACCAATTAATTTTTGCCGTGTTTCTCTACGTGATAGCACATGAATGTATAGCTATAAAGGTGAAAATTGCAAGACTTGTTTTATTTATATCCCTTCTGTTATCTGTGGGCTGATGTATTTGGGAAAAAACAAAACAAAACAAAATATTTCTTTTAATGTACAAAAACAATCCAAAGAGATAAATCTTTACTTACAGACACACCAAAAAAAAGAGTCTCGGAGACCTTTCAGTTTCTTCTTAGTAATAATTATACTGGATATGAAAACAAACTTGAAGTTAATTTTAAACCATAGCATTTATTAGTGCTATACAGCAACATTCCTTTCAGCCAATAAAGTTATGAGTGAGTGATACAGCACTTGAATGGTATTGCTTCTTGAAGCAACACTTTGAATTGAAGTGTGCTACCTTTAGTTAAAGGACATGTTACAGGAAGGATATTTCAGTGTAAATTTGGAAATGTTTATTTTGTCAGTTTTCATAAGCAAGATCTGGCCTAAGTTGCAGTGGCTAGTGGTTGTAGTCCATTTAATGTCCCCTTTACCTAGAATATTATTCTTAAGCGGTTAACTGCAATTTCCAGTTCACAAATAACTTACACATTGTAGTTTAAGGTATTATTTTTATTTAAATCTCCTGTGGAGAACATTGTTTTGTTTTTTACTAGTTTTTTAAGGTCAGTCCTAAACATGGAGGTTTTAATGAATGTTGTACAACATTTTATAGTGAAAGGGGAAAATTGTTAGAAGTGTAACTTTTCCCTTACATATTTAAATGTGCCAATAACTAAACACATACTGTTTTATACAATGAGATTGTACTACAAACTTCCTGATGGAGTGCTCTCTACATTTTGGTTTTTACTACCTGAATGATCATTGCATTTTCTGTATCTCATAAGATGGCTCCAATTTTGTGTTTTAAGGTTTAGCTTGTTAAGAGAAAGTGTATGTTCTGATTCTTTATGATAATTCAGTATTGAAATTCTTGGTGTTTTACAGATACTATCTGCCTTTTACATTTTAATCCATTAAGTCCATTTGCATCCCATAGCTGTTTGTAAATGTTTCCCACAGTTGTATGTACTTAAATGCACGCTTACCCATTGTACATATTGGACATTTTTGTTCTAAAATACATTAAGTGGGATTTTTGTAGCAAAGCATTCTATCTTTCTGTTCTTAAAGTATGTGTGTGTGTGTTTTGTTTTGTTTTACATTAATCTTAAGTTTAAACACTGGTGTACTTTTTTTTTTAGCAACTTGACTCTTAGAAGCCTTAGACTAATTTTTAAATAAATATTCAACCAAAAATTATAAATTTATTAAGATGTGGCCTTACATATAGCATTCTTTGCATTAGTAATGTGAGCTTTTTGATTTAGAGAAATCAGAAGATACAGGATTAAAGTTTCACTGTAAGTTGAAATAGAAAATGTGCTAAAATGTCTAGGCTTCTGAGAGGAAGTTCTTACACTTTTCTTTCTTGGGATTAGAAAGAAGCAATATGAATTTTTCTGAATATTCAAAATATTCAGACAGTTGTATCCTGCTCAGATTGATTTAGGTTTGTCTTAACTAATGTTTCTTTAAAATTTCAGGTTGTTGGCATTCACACTGAGTATGCAGCTACTATGGTTTTTGTGTGGGACGTATAAAGTTTGGTTAGATACAGACAGATTTTAATGTTTTAAGGACTTCCTGCTATATTAACATTATAATGGGAATCTTAAAATATTAAGTATGATTTAATGGAAGTCACACAAATCTTAAAATGGTGTCTGCGGATAGTAAATACTACGGAGAATTTTTCACTCCATATGAGAGTATGGGTGTAAATGTTTTACAGTCATTTCATGTTTGGACAGAACTGGCATTCAGGAAAAAAAGCATTTCATTTTGAAGATGGATTTTTTTCTTGTTGCATTGTTACTGCGTAACACTTCTCAGCATTTTATAAGTTATTTTAAAATACAGTGGTGAATTCACGTTTATTTTTTTACGTTGAAAATTGAAGTACTCAGGTGGTATTTAATGGGAAAGGATCCTTTGGGGTAAATCATAGTGTATTCTAAGGAATGCATCTATAACATTGATGACTTTAGCCTTAAAAAAAGGTCTATTATTCCTTCTTCCTCTTCATCCAGTGGCATATTAGCAAAGTAGTTTACAGCCTTGTGCAGCCTTACAAAGTTGTTTTACAATTTTTAATGGAACGCCCTTAACAAAAAAATTGTATCATATTCCAGTATCCATGAATTACTGAATCACAGTTTGTAAATAATTTGTCTAATACTAGAAGGCCAAAGAAAGTCTTGAAATTTTAGCTATTGACTCTGGTGACTTCACACAAATAAGATTTCTGTGCAAAAGGTAAGGTGATATTTGATCAAAAGTACATATTTTTGGTGTCCATGAGAACTAGACTTCCATATTTGCTTCTCTTAGAAAGCTCATTCCATTTTATTAAAATGTTTGTAATTGCAATTTTGTGTTTAATGTTTACTTTCTGTCTTTTCTTTCTTTAGCATTTAGGTGATTGTTCAGCAGTTTGCTATATGGCCATTGTTGGCCTTAAACTGCACTAGTAACAAGCATGGTATTTATCTTGTATTGATAATAAAACCAGTTTTGATAATACTTTGTAGTTTGTCCTTTTTGTTTGATTTATAATTTGTTAACCATTGTATATGGTTTAATTAATGTACGAGGTCTGTCTAGAAGGTATCCAGCCATGTAGTACGAAAAAGAGGCATATTTATTGAAGTAGATACAAGAATCATTGTACATAGGACAATGATGCCTCAGTTCTTCAAAGTAGGCACCTTGGGACCTCACACAGTTCTCCCAGTTGCCATCAGCTGCCCCATCATATTTTCCTCAATCTGATTGAATCTCAGTCTCCCTTTCAAAAGTGATTTTAGTTTTGGGAAAAGCCAGAAGTCTCAGGGCGCCAAACCTGGGCTATAGGGGGACTAAGTGACCACGGTGAATTGATGTTTCACAAAAACAACAACAACAACAACAACAAAAAAAAAAAAAAAAAAACAACACTGCGTGAGACCTAATGTATTAGCAGGCACAGTGTCATGATGAAGCTGCCAATCACCAGTTGCCCATGGCTGTGGCCTTCTGAATCATCTGAATAGTTGCCTCAGAGGAATGTTCAAGACTAATGCAAAATTTGATGTAGATTTGTTGTTCTGCTCCCCCAGTTATTTAAGTATATTTTATTGATTATATTATTACAGTTGTCCCGTTTTTTCCCCCTCCATCATGTACCCACCTCTAACCATCATTCCCCCACCTTAGTTCATGTCCTTGGGTCATATATATAAGTTCTTTGTCTTCACTTCTCATGCTATTCTTAACCTCCCCGTGTCTGTTTTGTACCTGCCATTTATGCTTATTCCCTGTACCCTTTCCCCCATTCTCCTCCCACCCCTCCCTCCATGTGGTATGTGTTTCTGTGAATCTGTTTGCTCAGTTTATTTTTGTTTTTTGTTTTTAAGGTTCAGTTGTTGATGGTTGTGAGATAGTTGTCATTTTACTCTTCATAGTTTTGATCCTTTCCTTAGATGAGTCCCTTTAACATTTCATATCATAAGGGCTTGGTGATGATGAACTCCTTTAACTTGACCTTATCTGGGAAGCACTTGATCTGCCCTTACATTCTAAATGATAGCTTTGCTGGATAGAGTAATCTTGAATGTAGGTCCTTGCCTTTCATAACTTGGAATACTTCTTTCCAGCCCCTTCTTGCCTGTAAGGTCCCATTTGAGAAATCAGCTGATAGTCTTATGGGAATTCCTTTGTAGGTAACTATCTCCTTTTTTCTTGCTCCATTTAAGATTCTCTATAATCTTGGCTAATGTAATTATGATGTGCCTTGGTGTGTTTCTCCTTGGGTCCAACTTCTTTGAGACTCTGGACTTCCTGGAAGTCTATTTCCTTCACCAGATTGGGGAAGTTCTCCTTAATTATGTTTGTCTTGGTGGGCCTGTAGTAAGGGACGGAGCCTTAGGTATTTGCCAGGGTGGGGCAATCCACAGAGCTGTGTTAATGGCACATATATGGGAGAGGGATCTGAGGGAACAGTGCTGCTTGCTGGGCTCTTGGCCAGCTTTCAGTCACTTCCTCTGCTACCCAGAAGCAATTTGCACCCTTCTGGTGCTGATTTCCAGGTGGTTGGGTTTCTGTATGTTCTAGGACCCTGTGGGTCTCCCGAGTGAACTCCTGTGAGGCTGGGAGTTTCTCCTGCTACTGCAGCAGCCCCCACAGGTTTTTTGTCAGGTTTTGAGGCTTTATTTCCTCACACTGGTACCCTGGATTGCATGGTCTGTCTTGCTCTCCAGTTGTTCCTTCTAGTTTATCCACATGGGATTGTGGGACAGTCTGCTCCACCAGCCGCTGCCCTGCCACCCCTCATCTCTGCCTGACTGCTTGTCTGCCCCTCCTACGAGTCTGAATGTTCTTTTAATTCCTTGGTTGTTGGACTTCATGCAGTTCGATTTTCTGGCAGTTCTGGTTTTTGTTTTTAAATTTGTTCTTTTGGTTGTATTAAGAGGCAAAGTGTGTCTACCTACACTTTCATCTTGGCCAGAAGTGCTCATGCCCAGTCATTGAATGTGACAGCCATACAGTACACATGCTCACTCAAAGGCATCCACATACGCCTAGTACAGTGAAGTCATCATTGTTCACATATGCACATTTCAGTCCACTCTCCTTGGCTGCCAGGTTACATGGATGTCCTGCAAACTGTTCTCATTACATTAACAGTTGCTGGACTTTTTCCTGACAGACCTCGTATATCTATTGGCCATATGAAGTATAGTAGAATTTGGACTGTTTTCTGTATTTTAAGTTGGCCTCCTGGATGGTGGTTATTTCCTCCTGTGTTGGCATTTGGTGGTCCTTAAAGCAGATGGTATCTGGCTAAAATTGAAGATTTAGAAGCATAATATTCTAAGGATTCAGAGAACATTTGCCTAATTCTGAGGGGTTATTACTAGATTTGAATCAATAAAAATGTTTGTAGAGCACAGCAAAAATATTTTACCAGTACTTTTAAAACAACAAATTGTGGTAATAGAAAAAATACAATAAAGATTAAAAAGTATTAAGAACAAACCTTATAAGAATAAATATTTAAAAATAATCTATTAAATAAGTTTACTTAAAACAGTAACAAATTGTGATTTCAGTAAGTTTTTTTTGTGTCTGGTATTACATCATGCCCCAGATTTCTCACCTGTATGCTTCAGAGTGTGTTGAAGGTAACGATCTAAACAGTTGAAATGACTAATGAGGAATAAGATTATAGAGAACCTTTTTTATATCCCAATTAAAATTGTGGTTCAGGTTTTGTTAGTTTACCTAATAACTTTGTTACATGTTTACATTTTTAAAGAAAATTCCATTCATCGATCCTCACTTGTATTTGAATTAAGATTCTTGCAAAAAGTATTTTACTGAAAGAAAAAATTATTAGGTACATCCTTTAAAGCAGGTGCCACACACAACTTTATGAGTCATTTAAGGTCTAGTTTAGTGAAGGGGGCCTAAAAAAATTTTTTTTTTTCATTTTATTAGTTTTTTCTTTGTTTTTATTTGTTGGTTTTAGAGAGAGGGAGAGAAACATCAATTTTGTTCCACTCATCCATGCATCCATTGGTTGGCTCCTGGATGTACCCTGACCAGGAACAAACCCACACGCAACCTTGGGTGTATAGGGACAGTGCTCTAACTAGCCTAGCTACCCAGCCAGGGCAGGGTTTTTTAAATAAAAGGACTACAGACAGAAGTTTCTTTTGAATCTCCCTACTTTTGTTTCCTAACCACTAATTGCTGTAAAACAAATAGTATTAGAAATGGTTTCCCTTTTATATTTTACTGGCAAATTTTTGGATTTTACATCAGTTTCAATCAGCTGTCATTGTCAATGCCAGGTAAAGGTTGTATACATTCTTTACAAAAAGCTACATTCAGAAAACAGGTTTTATTTCTTTAATATTATACTGAGACTTAAAGAAGAAATAACAGAACTTGATGAACAGTGAAGGGAAGAATCTTCTAGAGACAACAAGAAGGCCTTTTGGCAGGAAGGGAGCACATTAGGAATTAGAAGAATGCCAGTTTGGCTGAAATAGGGAGTG